AGCTGCTCAACTCAGACTCATCGCCTCCACTCGTGGAATCGATTTGGGCAAACGTAAACATGGCTGGCAAACCAGTTCCGTCTCACACACTCTATACCAGTTCACTTGCAGTTGCGGTGACGCATCCATAGGCAGAACAAACCGTCAGCTGTCACAACGGATGACCGAACATATTCCAAAGTGGTTGGTGAAATCGATGACGCAACTGACAAATGATGGTCAAGTGATTGCAAGAAATCCAGGACCATCTGTTGCAAAACATCTCATGGCAACAAGACACACAGTTGACCCCAGTTCGTCTTCCAAACCACTATTACGTAATCGAAATGCAAAACTTTTAGCGATTAGTGAGGCAATGCTTATTCGATTACATCACCCGACCCAATGCGCACAGAAGTTTTTGATACAAGCGATCCACTTACCGTGGAGCTGACCTTCTGCTTCTAAATTTAGTAATCATTGTATGCTTGTACACGTTTGTTCACCAAAATTGATTAATCCGATGTGCTATATATGTGCCTGTTTGTTTTAAGTCAGCGACTGAGAAGATTAAACGAAATGTTAACACCTCGCGACATTTGTCTTCCTTCTGTTTTGATGAAATGGATAAAGGGAACTCAATGCTTCAAATTCCTTCTGAACGGCTGGCTATCGACTGTTGGTTGTGTCATCGATTTCACTAACCGATTTGGGATGTAATCAATCAGTTGGAACAGTTGATGATTTGTTCTGCCTGTGCACTCGTCAGCGCAATTGCATGTGAACCGGTATACAGCGTGAGACAGAAATGGAGGGACAATCTTGTTTGCACATGTCCAAATCGACTCCGCGGGTGATGCAATTAATGAAATTTGAGCAACTGCAAGGTGCAGTTTGGAGATTAGTTAAAATTTTGACGTACATTATTTAGATCGCCTTTGAAAGCCATAGCTTGATACAATCCGCTTATTTTCGGAACATTCGAAGGTTGAATATCTTGTTGAGTTTGTTTGCCACGAATATCAATGAATCTTTTTAAAGAATTCATCCTCTCCGCGTAATCGGTCTGGAGAACAAACGTTTTTGGCATGATGAATTAAAGTTTTTACAGGTCCGCGTCTGTAAGCCAAGGGTGTGAAGCGGGAGAATTACAAACAGTTACCGCTCCATTTGGCTTTTGGTAAACGGAACGTCGTAATTCTAATATCCGAAAACTTTTGAGAATTTCGAATTTCTTTTTGTTCATGGGACAGATAGATGGGGGTACATAAAGTTAAAATGCTTCAACTGGGATAGCAAGTGTTGCCGTTCTGCAAGAAAATAAATGTTGTCCACGAGATGCTTTTACAATGCGGACTGAGAAATATATTGTTATTACTATTGTTATTGTTATTATTATTATCATCATGTCAATCGTCTTAAAACACCTGCTAGAATTGGGCTTAGTGGAATGCCCATAATTAAGGCTCCCATTTGTTTATGTGGCTCCTTCATATTCAAACGAATGTTTTCACCGCACATATATGTATATATATGTCTTGCATATGCAAAGACGAGTGATAGCTGATAGTGTTTATCGTAACTTATCGATTCAGAGTAGGACTGGTTGCCAAAAGGTACTGCTCGTCTGAATGAATCTGGACTGCTTGCACTTCGCACTGAGGTTTGTTTTGCACCTGCTTTTCCATTATTCTCACACTCCTCGTTGGTTGTACGATTGTTAGGTCATGTGTATCGAACTCAGCGTGCCCACAGAATCAGTTAATTGAGTAGAAAAGCCGCGAGGATCAGACGTTCCCCCTTCCTCACCATTGCGTTTGCGTGGTTGATTTTGACATCATGATTTGTCGTTGCACGGTGAGTCCAAATATATGATCTCGGTTCCACGCATGGCAGAATAAGTGTTTTCAAGCAGGCAAGTAGACAGTTGTGTACCCACCTTTCCCAAGTAACCTCGGTTACATTCTGACCACGGAATGGCGCACATTAACCCTCATTGGTCGTGTTTCCGAGTGGTCCTTACTGTTGTACGAAACCAATCGTGGTCTCGCTGTAAGTTTGTATAGAATAGTGACACTCAAGGAGCAAAGAATCCAATCGACGGTTTCTGATACCCCACGCAAGTATGGTGTATCATTTACGCATTCTTCTCTTTATCATTTGATTCTATTCGACCCCTAACCGTAAAACCTCATATCCAAGGCTTTGCAGCAATGCCTAAAGCGAGTTTCCATTCAACTCAGTGTTATCAGGATGTGTGTTTGGTTTTATTGTTGATCTAGGTTGCGCTGGTGGTGGTGGTGGCGATCAGTTGATTTAGCTTTCTGAATATTATTATAATGTTATATTTCATACTTGTCTGAGGACAGACTGTGTGCCAGGCAAATNGGCAAATCATGGTACAATAATCTTTATAAAAAAGAAAAAAGCCCATGATTGGCTTGTGGGCTGAATGCTGCCAGGTTGCCCAAACCAAAGCAGGTAAATTTTCTTGAAGAATTGACAACCGGAGCCTTCAACTGGCCAAAGCCTGACTCGTAAGGCAGCGGGGCGGGAGCCATTAGATAAGAAAAATCTTACTGATGAGTAAAAGTGTTTAATCACACTATCACATCTAATGAAAAATTATAGAAAAAGTATTTGCAGAAAAAAATTGATAATACAATGAACACACGTCATTTGATATGACTTCCGTATTTTAATGTCCCCAAAACTTTACCCGATAAATTATAGTCCTTCAAATATATTTCCTTGTAAGTTGAAATATGCAGGTATATTAGCCCCTACGGCCGAATTTGTGGGAATAAATTCCATTAAAAAAGACCCGTGTTCTCCTCCTCTTGTTTTGTCTCCAAAGGACAAGTAAAACAGCCAAGTTTGGTCTAATCCAGGAATACCGGATCACCAGATTTTTGTAGTGACCTGCAATTAGAACGTTTTGCTTATCTCCGTTCAGGATAGTACATTCAAGAGATAAATATTGTCACCCTTGAAAATGATTTGCGATGTAGTTTTTTCTTTTGAGCTATTAGTAAAAACTGACGTATTTCTAGCCCGACGAATACAATTACTTATTGAATCGCTTCGAACCGGCAACTCAACACATTGTCTTGGAATCGATGGTACAGTCATGTGACCGAATCAAAACCGAGTGGTTATTCTCGTGAGCTTGAACCCGCCTTTTATTCTTTGTTGATTGTGATATTCCGACAAACCTTTTACGTTCTTAAAGAGCCGTCTTTGATTGTTTAAACTTGACTACTGAGACGGAATATATACGCTCATTTTTGAGATGACTTATCCGTGGCCAACTACTCCAATTCAACGATGCAAAAAACGATTTAAAGTGAGTCATGCGAAAGCCAGTTGCCCACATTTTACCCGTTTTCCACGCGGCGAATAAAGACAAAGGAAAAACTGTAGCATAGAAAGCTGAAGTTGAACTGCTACTGTCAACCCTGCTAAAAGTAGACAAGAATACTTAGATATTGTTGGTAGTTCTCACCTCTTATATGCATATTTTCCACTATAATCTGTTACTTCGAGTTAGTTTATTTACACTTTATTTAGTCTTGTCTAAGCGCATTGATCCGATCTTGGGTCTTGATTACAACACATCCTAGGTTAACGCACAAACAAGAATTTCATCATCGGTATGAGAAATTTATGGGTCATATTTAACAAATGTCAACGTTATCACTGGTTCTGAAATAAACCGAACATAGTTCTCACTGCGGTCAACATAACAATAATCAGTTAATTAACTAAGACCTGGCTGCGCAACAAGGGATGAATTTCACTAATTAACCAGCCAAAAATGTAGACATGAAGTCATCAAAGACAATTATTTTTTTGCTTTTATAACTGATATAATCAATTCCATCGTTGACATCATCGTAGCCTTCGGAAGCAGCATCGTCTTTGTCATGATCAGTTAACCTTATTGCATCATTATATTCTGAGAATGATTGATGGGTTTGTTGTTCCTAAATTGTGCAAATGTCCATGTTTTTGAAGGATATCACTATTATTATTTCATGCTTGTCTGGGTCAAATAAACCACGTTACAAGCAATTTACAACGAAGAAATCAATCCATAATTTGTTAGTTGGTGCGGTACAGCAAGATTGCTCAAACCAAAGTGAGTGACATTCTTTTATGACTCCACAGGCGCTGCCTTCGGATGGCCAAAGTTTGGCCTACGAGGCACAGAAGCGATGTTCAAAATCTACAATCCATCGTTTCTGAATATTGAAATAAGGAGACTCTACCTGAAGCGTCTGATATTTTCAACACCTATTGTTAATCTCATCTTGTGCTCATGGCACATTTTCGTATTTGACTCACAGCTACTTGTGAGTAGTGTATGCGGGATAATTGATTTGACTGAGTATCCTTCGGACTTCATCTTCACGCACAATCCTCAGTTCATCGATTCAACCACACACTCGGAAGCACTGGACTGGAGTTTTGCTCTTATCGAAGATAGATCAAGCTTGGTAGGTATGTGGGAAGTCAACTCGTAACCGGCATGGAAGTCCTGACTTGGTGAGGGACTTTCTATTGGGTTAATTGGTTGTCACATGTCTCCCTTCGTTGCTGTCGGGCCAAATGAACTGACTGACCATCACTGAAGACAACACATGAACAAACATGAATTGGCAATTTGGTTCCGCCATGGCATGACCTGGTTAGCACAGTGGTAACATACGCCTTCCATGCTATGGGTCCGGAGTTCAAAATCCCGGACGGGACGGTAGATATGCACTACTGATGAGCTCAAATGAGAGCAAAACTCGAGTCTAGTGCTTCCGAGTATGGGGTTGAATCGATGAACTGAGGATTGTGCGTGATGGTGAAGTCCGAAGGATAGTCAGTCAATTCAATCAACATGTCACATTTCACAGCAGATGGACGGATGAAAGAACTTGTGTTAACATGCAGATCGTTTTGTGCCTCGCATTATCCTTCCTCTCGACAAATGCTCAACCTGTTTTTGTTGTAATGTGACTCATTTTTCCTTTGCTAGCCGGAATGCGATCCAAACCAATCATTTCTGATCAGCGAAGATAAAGAAAATATCAATCCGGAATGGGATGAACGAGAATTACACGATACCCAAATGTTAACCGACAAAAACGTGATTCCGGATAACGGTACTGAGTGAACTACCGGTTTATTCTTTTGTAACATTAAATGACATTAAGTGTGCATCTTTCGTGACCTTTAGTGTTTGATAATTTTCGTCTGATGGCAGCTTATTCTGGGCATTTCGATGTTCTATTTTTCTTGATGGCCATAGGTCAACCCGGATATATATAAACCACCGGCTTGAAAACAAGCATGGTGCCAACGCAACAACAATGACAGTGAAAGGGGATAGGTGGATTAGGATACAGAACATGGTGAAAAGTGGGTGAGACAGTTAAACCCGGATGCTAAATCACAACCCATTCTCATGTGCAAAGTAAGAAAAGAAGGTGCAAACATAATAATCATTCATGCTGTGAATAATTTACATTGTATTTTGAACTGATTCAACAGGGATTATTTGTTTATATATCAGTACGACCGGAAGATTTGAACATGGTCTGGGCAAGAAACTGTGTAAGACTACCATCCAGGCATTATGGTAATACTCATTATCAAAATAACCGGCACTCTGTTAGGTCCGTTGACGCCGATCAAAGTGAGCATTAAGTTGTGGTTATAAAATGGTCAAAAAAGGATTCCAGAATAATTAACTCTTCGTTATGCTCAGACAAGCAGTTCAAATTAGCAAGTGATTAGTCATACTGTCAGTTTGTCAGATATACGACCCAAATACCTTGGAAATCGTGTGCTACTCTTTTATCCCTGTTAGGAAATGTCTGCAGTACAGAATCGTCAAACTTGTGATGAATCATCTCCTGGTCAAATTAGTTTACATAAACTATGATAAAAACAATTTATTACGAAAACCTATCTTATGGTCATTCGGCTTAAACTTACCACGCAGATATAATGCGATTAACATCAATGACCACTACACTTTAGAGCGAAACACGGTTCAGACCGAGTCATATGTGCTGTGAATTTACACGTCCGAAGACTCTTGATAAGAAGGAAACAGTTTTACAGTACTCCCAGGGCTTTTTGCTAGATTGTGTGAATGATATACTGAATTTACATTCTGAATAAATATGTCATGTCCAATGCTTGTAAGCCGTTCTACATAAACATCAATCGAATATTAGTTTGTGGATTTCCTCACAATGAAAAGCATTTTATATTTATCGCGCAGTTTGCGCACATAGTGATTAATTTCCCGATAGTTTCTCAACTATGCGTTGTCATTTGCATGTTGTCTACTCATTCGTAATGCACAGAATATAGTGACGGTGACTGTTTTGCATAGCTTACAATCACTTTATGCAGTGCTCCTTGTTTGCCTTTTGCGTTTTCGAGGTGAAGGAGACAACATGGAGCTGAATTAGGAATAACTGTACAGAGAGAGATTAAGTAAAGTAGATGTCGCCCATTTTTCAATCTGGTGCTGAAAATATCTGGTAGTTGGAAGAAACTAGAGAAGATAATGATGAAACAATAGTAATGGGATAATTGATGACAATTCTAATCACGTCAGACTGTACGAAGTGGTACGTTTGGGTAATTGAGCTGTGTTCACCATGCAAAGACCGTGTGATTTCACTATCAGTGTTCCTCCTGCAAGTAGACTCAATCCCTAGCTAATAACCAAACAAGCATTTCATATTTACCTCAAAATTCTTGGTAAGTAGCAGAGCAGGACAATTTTTATTGATTTTGACCGATCACTCTTGAGAATTCATCCTCAGTTCATCCAACAAACTATACACTTGGGAACAACTAGACTCGAGATTTACTCCCATTAGAGCACCTTAGTGCTGCATGGTCATTTACGGATTCCATGTCAGGACCATTGACATGGAAACTGTGCTTATTTGTTTGGAACATATTGTGAAATCAGTAAAATTCGCTTTCCTCTATTTGGCTCTAGTATCATTATTTTAAGATAACTCGGATGAAAATTATTTGCGCTTGGAAATCAAGATTTTCTTTGCAGTGTTCTCATCTGTTCAATCATTGATAACCATGAATCCCTTTGCTTTCCTACTCCAGTTGTGATTTCACCCATAAATTTCATTGCCTTGGCCTGGGAAACCGGCCGTATTCCGCCCACAAACAAAACGTGGAACTTTCGCTTGCTTATAAAGATTATTGTACTGTGATTTGTATGGCTCACAGTCTGAATTCCGACCTGTGTGAAATGTAACACATCAATGTGGTCACAGTTTCCTGGTTGGGACACGCGGAAAGTCCCGTCACTGTTCTTCAGACAAGGGCTAAATGCTTTCATCATTTTCATAGTGTAAACACTAACCTGTTACTGGTTCACCTAATATCTCTGAGTCAGAGAGAATCACATCGATGAAAACAGCAGTTCCTTGAAAAGAACATGGTCTCTAGCCCAGACTACCCGTTCTTTTTCAATTAAGACTAAAGTGCTCGCCGCGATTTAAATTGTTTTGTGCGATACTTCGGTGCCAGGTGGCGCTTTTGAACAGGATAGCTCTTTTCATAACTACTACGTGAAATTAGTTTTACTTCGAAACCCACATCTTCTGGGTTCGCGTTGTCTCTGTCCCGCAGTAATTGTAATCGAGGTTCAGCGTTGAATAGTGTTTGTAAATTCGAATTTAGTAAAACGAGATTCAGTCAAAAGTTCAGAAGCGTTATTGTTTTGCAAGATTCAAAATTCCATTTACTTTCTGTCCAAAGCAATCAACTTCCACAATCAAATGCATTGTTTACAAGCTTATCAGAGGAGCCTAATGAAATAAAACGGTTAAAACCTTCGGATAACAATCCATTCACAATATAGCAATAAACACTATTCCAATCATTATGGTGAATTCATTGATCATTCTTTTATTGTATGAGCAACGGAGGTTTAAGCCCGGAACATCTACTTTTATTATTTCGTTGTTTATATTCGTTATTGATCACAGAAAACCAAATGATTGATCTAGAAAATCAATCGGATAAGCGTTATCTTGGACTCAATTTAAAGAATGTACGATCCCGGACAGCGGAAATGACAGATGATTTTCCATTTGACAGAGGNGAGGAGGTGACAAGTTTCACAAAGTAAGTGATCGGAATCCAGGATATTATGATTTCCCTGATGAAGTATTGTAAAATTGATACTGCTTCAATTCGTCAACATTGTTTGTGAAAGTTTCAGGAGCGGCGAAGGATCTGATTAAGTGAATGAATGCAGGATGTATAGTGTCATATTTGTAAAGAAAATTGTCTGAAGTTTACTAATCTGCTTGGTCTATGGCAGCCACGTGACTCCACTTACTCGTTCATCGAATTTAAATTGTAAACGGTGGAAAATGAGAATTTGCACATATGAGTGGAGAATCCAAGCTTAGAAAACCTGATGACTGACGTTTCTAAGTGTAAATCTCTTGAAATTATTGTGTAACGTTGTAGGCCCGCGCGAAATAAGATTATCTTTTGGGAAGTAGTTAGAGTCAATCAGATGGATTTATCAACTAAATAGACGGCCAGAGGCTGATGTGAATCAGTTTCAAAAGGTGAAACCGGATTTGTTGTGTAGAAATAACGGTTACCACAGAATTTAGTCCCTTAAGTGTAATAGCGAAAACACCCAAGAAAAATGATAGTTCTTCACATGGAATGTTATGACCATATTCCAAAACCTCATGAGTCAATCAATCCCATTGCTTTTCAGCCTCCTAGAAATTATAACTCCGATAATCATCCCTCACCCATGTGGCCGGCTATTGAAGTTGAACAGTTAGCAACCTGGCTGAAGAGATTGGCTCAGTCTGAGCAAACGGAAAGAGTGAATTCTTCTAGTCGTGAACATACTCCGAGGTACGAAGATAGTGCTGACAGTTCCCCGTACGAATCGCCATCTTCTTCCTCTTCCGATTCACCAAGCCCTCAGTCTTCAGACGGGGAGAATAAACGGATCCCTAGACTAGATGAAACACTCATCCGGACGCAAAGACGCAGCAAAAAGTCATCCTCGAGATCACCGGTAGCTTATGATTGTTTGAATAGTATCAAGGATTCCATTGACCACACCCCCAGACAAAATCGTATGATCATAGTTGATTGTCGTTATCCCTATGAATATGACGGTGGACATATTATCGGAGCAATTAATCTGGCCGAGTGGCCAAAACTTCGTCATTTTCTATTTGGTCGTACGAATAAGGAGTGCATGTCTGAAGATCAAACATTCGAACCGCAAGAACAAGAAAAACAACCTCGAGTCAGTCGTACTATTTTCATTCTACACTGTGAATTCTCATCTCATCGTGCACCGCGAATGTTCCAACTCTTAAGAGATCATGACCGATTGGTACATCTTACTCATTATCCGACTTTGCGGTACCCCAAAGTCTACGTCCTCCGGGGTGGTTATGCAGCATTCTATGCCCGCTATCCGGAACTGTGCGTTCCATCGGCCTATTTAAAAATGCACAGCAGACCGGATTTATTGTCTCAATGGCACCGACACTGTAGTATAGTCAATCGCAAAGATGCAGATTACTATAGCGCACGAAAACCCAATTCCCATAAGTTATCTATCGTGAAAAACATTCCTCTGTTTACTGTGATCAACTTTTCTCCGCCATTCGCGTCCTAATCTCGTCCACTGACTGTGATATTTGACTCATCTGACCCCTGCCTGGTCTGCTGACTAAGTGATATTTTTCGGTTTTTAGATGAACCCTTTTTGACAAAATGAAGGTTTTATAATCTAGATTGTTTTGGCGAAATTTAAACCCTTGGTGCTTTGACTCCTATGTTATTTCGTCTGGCTTTTATCCTTTGTGGCTTCTTCTTCATTGACGGAGATTTTCTCTCCCTCTCATCTGTAAACTGTGATCCTTATCAATTTGATTCCCAGTGACATGTACTGATTTTATGCATTCCGTGAACCTATTCAATTATTCATTTTTTGGTATTATTCTGTCCTATTCCCCACACTTTAAAAAAGGACGTCGTCGTGATTAATCTGTGTCCTGCAGAAGGGGAACACATCAACATTTTAAAGACAGAAAATATTACCCAATGGGCGGTACAATACAAAGTACAATAAACAAGTCGATCGATCTCCCCTATTATCATAGGGTGGTTTAGTGCACTTCCATCACACACATTGTTATGCTTATCGTGAACCTCCCCTGGGTTATCTATCCATGGAGTTTCTATTTGGACCAAAAGAACTCCAAGTGCAATTTATTTCCAACAGAACAACATTTTTGTTGATTCCGGATTTTATTTGAAGAAAAAAACGGGTTGTCGTGACAAAATAATAACATGCAACAATTCTTCTGTCTTTCTGGGATCTATGATAAATAAAGACAATGTCAAATACGGAAATAACGCTTATTTTTCTAATCCTGTAGTTTAATACATCGTAGACGAAGAGATTAATCTCATAGTTAAAGGTAATCGTTCACAGTTTTGTTCGCATGCCCCAACCTTCAAAATTTATCCTTAGTATGATAACTTTTCTTGATGTGTTTTGTTCACTCCGAGAGAAATTCTGCTACTTCCTCAAATCAAGAGCAAGCTTGACATGCATGAGTGATCCAAATGGAAACCGTATTGCTAGTAGCACAAGTGACCATGATACACCAAATACTGCCGAAGTCGTGCAGCTACCAGTCGCTACATCACTTTGTCCATCACGCTCACTTAGCTTGCCCTAGGTAGCACGTCGTCGGCTAATGGTTGGCTACAATGAGCTACTTTACCGAACAGCGGGGATATTCTGCGTTCCGCTTTGTCCCTCCTCTAATCTTCTATTAAACTTATATTTTCACATGGATTTACTATCTCGCCATGAACTTCAGCACATTTTGCACGCCGGTTAGAACACACTTAATCACGGAATTAAGACAGAAAATAAGAGTCATTTGATGAAATTAATTATCAGAATGAGTCTTTGGACCAAAAAGAGTTATGATAAATGCGTTTTAAAGGTTAATTACTGTTTAATCACAAATGTAGCTGATGTAGCTCGTGAGTAGTCCTTTGTAGCCGATCGATGCCCTACTTTGTGACATCTGGGGTTAGTCCGTAGTTACTAGATTCACTATTATATCTACCTTTGGGTAATAGCACAACGACAAAATATTTCCAGTGACACGGTAAACAGCATTGCGTAAAAGTTATATTGAACAAGAGGAATAACATAAATACAATTTGATTTACCAACTCCTTCAGGGCGATTGAATAGTAAGAGGTTCAGGCGACTGATAAAACTTCAGCCGACGCGGATCAGTGTGAGTCTGCTTGGTACTCCTTGGTTCTCGTTGTTTTAGTGCGTCTGGCTGCATAATCAACCCATGCATATTATTTGTACGTACACCAATCTCTTTCTTAATTTAACACTGTAGAATATTGCAAATAACCCCAATCTTCGATATAACACCCCCATTTGTATTTAGGATTCGTTTCAAATTATACTGTACGTCAATTATTTGCGTATATCATAACGCACCTGTGCAAACCCGCCTGTTTACGTAGTGTTGCACGTTATTGGAGTCAGTCATTACCGAGTCCATAAACACTGTCAGAAAAGCAGAATTCACTTCATCTCGCAACACGGGCACTGTTTTAAGGGAGACTTACTAAGGTACCACCTGCTCTGTACAATTACTTCCCCTGGTGGTTTCACCCAAAAGATTTAATAGACCAGCAACACTTCTCACGTAAATGAATCATTGTGCGGTACCCACATTAACGTAATAGAAGGTAGAATGAGAGGTCTGAACCAGACACTGTATTGGAGCGCAAAATACGGTGCAATCGCATGGTGCGTTGAACGACCAAGGTGGAAGTGTGTGGAAGCAGCGTGCATCAACGTTCAGTAAAACAAGATCGTGGTGTGTGACAAAGCAGAGTCATTACAGAGGCTCCCCCTAGAAGGGCACTGGAGTTAGAATCGCAAAGCGTAGGCAACGCGGTAAGCTTTATCTGCTTGGCGGCAGGTGATGCGCCCAATGCGGCGCACCAATGGAACGGACCCGGGGCAAGACTTGTTCTATGTATCTAATCCATTGTTCGCTGAATTATCATCAAGGCTCTAAACCCTAGATAGGGAAGCGGGTCTGTGTTTGTGGGCTTCCGGTGACGAATAAAGTTCGTTTGCTGGACTTGTTTCTTCCTGTAGCCTGGGTCTTTCTTTCCTGTGCTGACCCAAGGAGAGGTTGTTGGGATCAAATCGAATGGCAATCGAGATGGGAAGACAGCCAGGCGCCTCAGCATGATTCAGATTAGCGGTTCTGTGATCGCGAATCATCGACCATCGTGGAAAAACCCTACGCGATTGTAAACCTAAGCTTGGATGAGTTACCCTAGATAAAAAGAAGGCGACAAGGGGTGGGAGAGCCGGTTGATGTAGTCGCCGTGACCTGCCGGCCTACTATTTTCCCCGTTGGTTTTTGAACGAACACGGCCCTTCGTACTTACTAGCTTGATTGCCGAAACGTCCGTGGTAATAGCACAGGCCGCACCTAGATGGAGTTCGCCTGCGCCGATTGCTTGAGCGGGTTCGACTATGGGTGGTGCGGGTAGTCTGCAGATTGTTGATGGTGGTCTGCATAGTGGTCATGGATAAACGAAGGTCGGCCAACTGCTGAGACAATAAGTGCACTTCTTTCGTGGGCTCGTGCGGGGGATTACCGGGAGTAGGGTAGGGGAGCGACTGATAAACGAAGTTTGGCTTCGCGCTCCCGATGTTCGCCAACGAGGGCTGAAAAAGTTGAACCTGCTCCATTGTTCGGTCAGCAGCCTCAGCTAGTTCGTCTAGATCATGGGCGTGTGCGAAAACGTTCAGAATACTCTGGACGTATGGCGGAAGCCGTTGAAGCCAAATCTGGCGTAGTACGGAGTCGTCGAGCGTGGTGTTGCCGTTCTGCTTTTTTTCTGAAAGGCAGCATTTTAAGGTGCAGTATCACATCCACCAGATATGTAAAAATGAGATACATAGATATAGGAACGAACTCACCTTGTTCCTTCATCGCCTCCCAAGTGACCAGCTCCGGAAATACCACGTCCCAGCACAGATCCAAGGACCTTTTAAAGGCCACCACTGTTGAACAGCTTATGAGTCTCTGGTAGTCTGTTTCACAGAGGCACCACCCGATTTGTGAAGAACCTGGCCGTCAACTCCAACCCTCCCAGCAAAAGTGCTCCTAGAGTGCGACTCTAGTACGCCCAGAGCGCAAAAATGGCACACGTTTTTCGCACTTTTACCGGGACTGAACGAGCGACCCTTCAAAACGGCAATTTTTTAAACCCTTAACGACCAAACCTCAGCGTTTAGAAGTAAACTACTCCAGTCTAACATGACGTGCATAATACCCCCATCCTCTCCCACTTAGCCCAATTGTGCTCCATATCTCCCAGCTCCCTTCTAAAAATAGAAGCTATAATATTTTTCTAACGTAACCCCATAAGCCTTCTTATACTTTTATACTCCATCGATGGCTTTTTTAAACGCAATGGCACATTCAAATTCGAAAGCATTGGGCCGATTGCATTTTTAATGGCATAACACAAGCAAAAGTGAACATATTTCCCGTATTCCATGCATATGCTTTTCGATATCCAAGGTGTACGTAGAAGAGTTCGACTGTCGCTCGGTAACTTCGGGAATAATCTTCGAAGATGTTTCAAAATTATGTTGATGGCACTGGCAGACAGTTTAGTCTCAGTCGAAAAAGCCCGGTATTTATCAACCAAACTGGGGCGGTTTTCAGCAGTACCGTAAACATCTGAAATTATACAAGGCCAGACAATAAACCGCTTTCGTACACAATACGCCATGTACCTGATAAATGGGCGGAACATCTCGAGCGTAAAACAGTTCGCATGCTCTCAGAGCACTGTTGATCTAGCAACAACATTAAACACATCTTGACTTACATAGTACGGCTAACTGTTTGAGGAAACACTTAAGGCAAATAATGATTTCGTAGCAAATTTCTCCGGAGATATGCGATTAACAATATTTTCTATTGGCATCTCTTGTAAGAGATGTCATTATAATCACATTACATCTCAATACATAACGGTGCAGGGCTGGCTGGTTTGTGGGCTGGTTGGGTTTTCAGGGCAAACGATGTTACAACAATTGCCATCACGTAGTTCTAATGTGGGTTGCGGACCTAAAAGCAAATAGGATTATGTCCAATTTATTTTACTAACCATGGGATTGTTGGCTTTCTTTGTCTGGTTCCTGCATTGGCAGCTTAGGTTGCAGTTGTGGACACTCCGTTGGGAAATAACCCTGAACCAGTTTGATGGAAAGTGCCTATTAGTCCTGAGCGCCATTGCCTGGGACGTAATACTGCACCTCACATTCTGCCTTTCAGAAAGTTTCAGTTTCAGTTTGAACAACTATTAACCACGCATCTTCGAGCACCGGTTTTGGTTGCTGTCTGTTGGCTGTCCATTTGGATGAAGAATAGCAAAAGAAAGGGAAGTTGAAAGTGGAGTCAAAGAGAAAATGGAGAAGTTCAGTGGTCTAATGTTACAAAGAAATTGAAGAGATGCAAGAACGCCACTGTTTACGACACCCAGCCATATCGCTCAGTGTCTCTAACCAT